TAATAAAAGTAGAATTTTTCCTTTACTCAGCTATCCATTAGGTACTTCTTGGCCAAGTTTAAACTTTCTAGCCCCCTCTCTCCCCCTTTCCCAGGTCATGGGGGAGAGAGGCCTTCAAGGCCCAAGTCTCTTAAGCTTCAGATTGATAACACGGTGGTCGGTGAAATCCAACAGTAAGGAACAAGTAATCGCGTTGTCAAAGTATCAAGAAGAACTGAAAATATAAACATAAACATTTTTGGATAAAAATTTCAGTTTAAAAATAACATCGTCAACGGTAGATCCTTTCCAACGGCAGTCAATGCAACATTCGCTCTTATTCGTGCAAGGAGACCAGGTCCGTATTTTTCCTGAATAATGGCCTGGAACCGTCCCGAGGGAAAGACAGCAAACACCGTGAAATATTGTAAAGTATCATTTTTATATATTGCCTTTCACTCATGTTAGACTAACTGATAAGCCAGCTACAGGCGCGGAAATCCAATAAGAGATCAACAAAACCGCTTCATAAGTTAAAGACGAACGATAAGATAAGACAGATACGACCCACAAATCAAAAGAGATTAATCTTTACTCCATTTTGTGAATCGTTCGGAGCCAGGTTCGCTCTGGCAATGGGATTCATCAAATTATTGACCGGAAGAAAAGGTAATTTGATTTCTTAGTTATCGCTGAGCAATCTTCAAGGGAAACGATTGGCATCTACGCGTTGTGGACTCAATCCAATTAGAATGAGGTTATTTTATTTAACTTATTCATCAGCACGTGTTCCATTTGTTCCGGCTGAAAACAAATATTATTATCTGTGAGTGGATTAATTCGTGAAGTAAGCAAAAGGATTTCAACTAAACATTTTACGTTAAAATTTAAGCATGCCGATGTTTAATAACAGCTGTTATCGTGAAATATAATATTGAAGATGCTTTATTTGTTCATTGGGTGAAATTAAAATAAAATGATTTAAATTCATTCATAAAAAATATTTTAAAAATACGAGAGCTATCTGGCACGGAATGGTTAAATTAAGTCTCAAAATTAAACCCCGTTCTCATTTCCAAAGAAAGTGTCCGTCTTGAAAATGCTCAGACGAGAAAACTTGATGAAAATTTCCCCATCTCTGCACATTTTCAAAGTCCTGCTAACTTCAGAAAAATAAATCAATGTGAAATAGAGACATCGACGACCGCTATTGAATTCATCATCAAATTTAGCTTTAGCTGATTGAATTCATCATCAAATTTAGCTTTAGCTGATTGAATTCATCACCAAATTTCTTTTCGTGAAGCCGGAGAGTTTCTGAAACCGTTTCGTAGACACAATGTGCTCCGTGCAAAATGTGCAGCTGATGCAAACGGAATGTTATTGACGCCTTCCGTCGATTGGGCAGCGCAGCCTCGTGCTTAGACTTGCAGAAGTATGACGATGGCGAAAGTCATACTAGTAACTGGCCGACCCGTGGAGGACGTCCACGAACTTCGGGTCGGCCGACGCCAGGGGTGTCGAACTGGTGGCCTGCTAATTGATTTTGTGCAGCCCTAGAAGTTCTCTTCAGCAGTTGGTTTTTGGGATTGCTCTGACATTTTCAACCTGTTCGCAATTGAAACTGGTGTAAGGTTTTGCTAATGTAGGCCCAACCACTCTTGAAGGCAATATCCGGCGCCCAGCTTTATCACATTAGACACCCCTGGCATAGACTGTGCGTGTAGCATTTTGGGGAATTCAGCAAAATATGTATGCATTTTGTTCAACAAATGCAACATTTTATTCTTTTATTCGGGGAAATAAAGAACGAAACAACGATACACGAGCCGCGGGCAAGTCAGTTTTGGGAAAGAAAACGTCGCCCGCATCAGAGACGGGCAAATCACGGAAGCGGTTAACGCTCTATGCAGTAGAGATTGTATTAATATGTCTGGCATACCTTTCCATTCCCCTTACCCATGGGAGTGTTCACACTCCCAATACGGGCTCTCCCACGGGGACGTGGAAAGCGTTCTCGCGTATAACTCTTGGAGTGTCCTTTCGTCCAGCTAGAGGAAGGAGGACTTCCTCGCAGTGATGAGATCTCTGCCCCTATATTAATCGGCATCCCCATCCCTTTGTCGATCGATATCCCGTCCTCATATTAATAGGCACTCTTTTCCCGTATCGATCGCCACCTGGTAAGAGGTAGGTAGGACGTGCGAAGGTAGGGGGGGGGAGCAAGACGTACTCTGCCGTGCTTGATAACGAGATCCGACAGCCGCGACGGCCAGATAAGAAACAAAAGGCACGAGGAAGTGAATACAGGGTGCGCCAAAAAAGGTAACCGAAACTAAAGGTTTTTATTTTGTTCTTTGTCAATTTGCACCTAGAAATCTTCATTCCGGCCTTATCCATAGCTTCAAAGATAATGTTCGACAATCCATACACGCTCCTCAACAGAATATTAAGGCATGATGATTGTCCAATGTTATCCAGAAATGAAAAAATAAATTACTACTTATTTTCATTCGCCATTTTTTTTTGCCCACCTTGTATAACAATGAACATGCTGTATAAGGATGATCTTAGGGAATATGAAACGAATGTGAAATAATGCACGGATTCACTTCAAATTAATGCCGGAACTTCATATTAATCAGGTTTGCAACTGTGCGACGATAAAGGGTGACATTGCATGAACGATTTACGTCTAGGAGATTTTTTCAGCATGAAAGGGAGGAAGGAAACGCAATCCCTATTTTTCCCATGTCTGGACTTGAAGGTTCGAGGTTTCATCTCAAATATATATTTTTTCCTGCGTGCCTATCAAGTTTTATTGATATACTGCAGCTGCATGCCGCTCGGAATTTGCCCGGGGAACCACCACGTTACCTCATCCAAACTATCCATCTTCCGATTTTTTTTGGTTTTATTTCCTTAGCGTTTTCCACGAAGAGGAATTGACGACCAAAATTACAAACTTGGCCTTTTGTCCTCTCGCAATGTCTAACTTACTTTCAATAACTGCTGATGCGATTGCTTCTGCATCGCAAATTCCGGTGAAATATTGAGATTGCTTTGGAAACATACTCATGGATTCATAGTTAAAGTTTCGTTTTTCGTTTAAAAGCGATGTTTTGGTGATTTTTCACGAACGACAATTTCGGCGGAAGGAAAATTCGCAAGACAGGAAGACAAAGCAACATTAATAAAATGCAGTTAGTGGAAACAATGAAGGGAGACGATGAGCGCTAAGGAGGTTAAGAGTTCAAATGTGCATGTACCAGTTGTCTGCACACATTCAACCATCGATACAAGCTTTTTCTAAAGCCGCAATCGGCCTCAAGATGGAATTTTTTAAATGACATCAACTCAATTCCTTCCGACGTGATCCACGATCATTCTAGTGGAACGTGGATTTAATTGTAAGCGTAGGGATCAACGAACAAATGCATGATATGATGATCGTAATGCAAATTTATAGGCATGGACATAGGCATTGACGCCCCATAATCCACACATCTTATTACCTGTGCATCGTCTCTGATAAATTCTTGATACTTGACATTTTATGACATTTTGTAACCACTGCGAATCAATGCAACACCAAATCTGTGGCATTCCCTTTTTTTCCAGGAAAGAGATACGGAGTGCTCTTCTTGGCAATATGCTTTGGTGCCACCTCAACTGTTCTT